AACGTCCTCCACAACTAGACTGGGGAACAAAATGACAGCAGCTTGTGTGTTCCCCTCTCCCCGGTTCCCCAGTGCTATTCCCATCCCCCAATTCCCCAACATAAAAAACTTCAAAAAAAAAAAAAACTTTTAAAATTCCTAAATAAGCAGTTTTCGGTATAAATGCGTTATGCAGTCCTTGAAATGTATTGTAAATAGCTCATGTCAGTAATATCAGGACATAGTAACTAATATAGTGAAAAATGTGTATTATGGAAGGGGAACTACATTTTGTTACTTGTCTCAATGTTCGAGCCAATTTTTTGTAACTTAAATTGTTGGGGTGACGTTGGTTACTAACAGTATGTGAGTTTCAAGTGTATAATTCTATACTACCTTATTTCCATATTGCATTCTGTGTGCCCCACCCGAAGTCTAGTCTCCCTCTGTTACCATATGTTTGACGCCCTTTACTCTTTTAATCCTCCCCACATCTCTTCCTCTGTTGCTATCCACCCTTCTGTAGTCCGTGTCTGCGGGTGTGTTTGATTTCGCCTTGACATCCTGCTCTCTGCTCACTGGCATTCCCTGAACAACTCACTGGAGTACCTTTCTCCATCGGCATGAATACTCTTTAGTGAAATCCTCTATACCCAAATTGTAAATAAAAGGACCTGGCCTATAAAGTCAATGGTCTTACCATACAATTTAAGAGTAATTTTGTCTCAAAAAGTCGAAATCTATGTATTCGTCTGATAACTGTTAACAATCATTTCTTTCACTCTCCCTCTTCTTTTCTGGATAACGTGTTGCTAAATCCATTTGGAGGGGTAGAGCAAAGGAGGCGTGTATGCTGGCTATTTGAAGTTTTCCTTTTCCTAACTCATCCCTATTCTAGTTGGAAACCGATGTCTCTGCTAGAATTGCTGAAGAGAATTTATAAAATTCAGAAGCCGAACAGAGCCCCCTTTGCCTGCCTCGTTAACCTTCCAGGCTGTTTCCTAAGGTGGCCGCTTGACCTTTGCCTCTAGTTCGGACAAGGAAGCTGGCTGGATGGTCAGTCTAGTACCCTGTGTTTCTCTTGGCTATTGAATTCAGAGAAGTAACTATCTAGAGGCACAAATTGTACTGAAAACCAGGTGTCTTATATTCTTGCTGGTTTGAAATAGGTAGCATTAGTTGGGCTCATTTCAGAATTGTTGGTTCTTTGAAGCTTAAGAGAAAAGCATTGCAGAGGCCAAGTTTTCTCTGGAGTATTTTGAGAAGATGTGTAACTGTTGAGCATCTCAGGGTCCATATGGTGTTGTTAGTGTTTTTTTCTATCTCTCTCTGTCTCTGTGTGTGTGTGTGTGTCTCTCTCTCTGTGTCTCTCTCTCACTGTCTTTGTACTTTTCAAAATCATTTTGGTGCATAGAGTTGATGCTCTTTCTTCTTAAGTCAGATCTTCATCAGCAGAAAATGAATGGTGTGGCAATGGTGGGAGGATAAGGAAAAGCAGTCAGCTGCATTCCTCAAAGCCCAACCATATCATCCTGACAGCCTGATTGCCTTTCACAAACCTCCCTCATCACATTGCAGTGTCCACTAATATCTCTAATCCATTGACTTTCACATACATTGAACATCTGTGCGTTCCAGTTTTTTGAAACCCTCACCGAGGTAGAATCCCAGATTGCCAGTCTTCCCTAGGACATGACTTCATGTAGACACACCCTGAACTCTGTTCTCCTCACACCAAATGAAATGCCCTAATGAACTGCGGCTCATGGTCTACTTGTCCCTCATGTCCAAGCAGAGCAGAAAACATCCACAGCGTGCTGCTGCTCACAAAGGAAGTCCTCCAAGAAAAGAAATAAACTGAGGTTAGCAGTCCATCATTCAACCCAATGACACTTGTGGACTGAGGAATTGTGAGCCAGAAATGTCAGACCTCAGACTCAGCGACTCCACTGATTATCAGTGAAATGTAGGTTTCTAGTTGCTTTTATCAGTGATCATGCTGAATTTGTGTTGGCTCTAGTTACAGTCCTTCCTTTCATCCAAATAGCAGAGGAACAAGCTAGCACAGGAAAAGTATCCAGTCTTTGAGGAGTAACCAGTCTTATGGGTGACTTGGTTCCCTAGGGGGGTTCAACTCCCCCATCCAATCCAGTGACTGAATGCTGGCAGTCGTTCTTGGGCAAATTTACTGTGAGAGGCATTGAATCAGCATCATCCCTTCATGAAAACTACTCTTCCTTGGGCTTTTTATTTTCTAGTCATTTCTCACTCCTCCTCCTTTGCCCCTAACCATTCTTGGATTTCTGGTGCACCTGCAGCTGAAGCACTGCTGCAATCTTCATAAATCCATGACTGACCTAAAGTTACCTGTAGGAGTTTGGTAGACTAGCTACCAAATCTGCAGAAATGGTAGCTAGTCATCCCTGACTATTAGAAACTACTCTCTGCAATTTGGACAGTTGGAAGTGTCCAGGGTACTTCTGAAATCTCCTTTAGGTGTCCACAAGGCCAAAGCTAAGAGCTTTTCCAACCCTCTTGCAGAACAGAGAGTCTCCAAGGCCAAGAGATACTATGCCCGAGTAACAGACCTTATGTAATAATGTTTTCCCCACAAGAGTTTGTTCCTTTCCAGGAAGAGTAGAACAGGAAAAAAAATAAGTTCTCGCTAGTGTCTCTTGAATATCACATTAGAACATGCATGTATTAAAATTGTTAAAGTTTGTAAAATATAGTATCAAGTTCAGATTGCTCATATTCTGATTACATTGGTTGTAGATTAGTTTTGCGATCTGCGTATGCTCCCTCCCCATCCTCTTCTCACTCATGCCCTTCTAACCCCACCTTCAGACATTTTAATCGAAGGCCATGAAATTGAGTATATGTGACAGATTTTAAAAATTATTTTTTATTTTGACTTTGTGACTTTGTTTTCAGAATCAGGTAGCATGTTTCATTGGAAAGAATCCTTCCAGGGGTACCAAACACCAAGGTTTTAGTACAAACTACCATTACCCAATGTGGAACTTTTTTTCAACTGTAAAATGGGGCTTAGACTAGACCAGGGTTGGCAAACTGCAGCTCGCGGGCCACATGTGACTCTTTGAGTACGTTCTGTTTCAAAAGTCTGCCGAACCCTGTCCCTCACAACAATTTAAAAATTATTCGAGAGCCATAAATATATTTTTATATAATCACCATTATGTGAATAATATCCTTTAAAAATTTTATAAATGAAACTATGATAGTTTTATTTTCATTTTCAGTTTTACTTCAGAGCCACATGTACATACCCAAAGAGCCGCATGTGGCTCGCAAGCCGCAGTTTGCTGACCCCTGGTGGCTCTTCCATCTCAAAAGTTTGCCGACCCCTGGACTAGACCGTTTCTAAGGGTCTTCCTTTCCTCTTCAACATCTTGACGATAGTTTTAGTGTTTGTCACTAAAACTGTTTTGCATAGATTTGGTGCACTACTATAGTCTTTTACAAAGTGCAGTTAAGTACTACACCATAAAGGATCCTTTAGCATTACCCCCAAACACAAACTACGTTAGGTGGAACACCAAACAAACTTGATTGATTTGTAATTTTAGTACCTCTAGGATAGAGTGCAAAAGTCTTGGTTTTGCACCCAAGGGCCTTCAGGAGTTGAGCTGTGCCATCAGGCTCATTCTTAACAAGTTCCCCAGGTAAGGAATCCCCTGCCCCAGGCAAATCTAATAACCGGCAAGCAACGTGGCACTCGGGGTTCTGCCTTTAATCAGTCTCCTTCTGCAGCTCAGGCTGCACTTCCTCTTCACCTCATCTTCATGGAGAACTTGAACACATCCTTCAAGAACTGGCCCAGGTCTCTTCAACTGTTGGGTCGTTGGGAAAGTCATGATGTATTTTTCTATGTTTTTCAATGCAAAAATGCATCATGACTTTCCCAACGACCCAATATAGTTGTATCAAAGCCCTGTGTTCATATGTCGTGAGCTGCTTCAGGGTACCAGCTATTGTATCCATGCTTGCTTCCCCCCTTCAGATTTCATCTTCTGTTGTCCTTGGCCTTCTTTCTATTCTTTGGCAAGTCCCAGAGCCTTTCCTTTGGCTCTTCCCTTTGCCTAGAGATCCCTTCCCTGTCCCCATACCTACTCTTCTTAGGCCCGACTCATTCATTACTCGGTTCTCAGCTCACATGTCACCTCTGCACAGAAGCAGTCCTTTCTATCCCAGGTCTGAAGTAGTCTCCCCACCAACATCGTTCTACTCATTCTCTTATCCTGTTTCATTTCTGCTGAAGCATTTGTCACCATCAGAAATGATTTTGTTTATTTGTTCCTCTCCCTAGTTTACCCCTCACTAGAACTTATTCCTCTGCCTGGGATGCAGTGGCCTTGTCTACACATTCACTCATGTAACTCCAGTGCTTACAACAGTGCCTGACGATAGTAAGAATCAGTATCTTCGGAATTAGTGTATTATATGTAGTGTTTGCAGCTATATGAATGGGTATAAATCAGATTACCTATGAGTATAGGTTTCCTGGTGAGTGGAAATGAAAAGATGGGTATCCTAATCAACCTCCCCTCCTTCCCACTTCTGTAGCAACTGTGCTCTGAGTCAGTATTTAAATGCTTTTGCCTTTTATCTTTCACATCTGTCTTTGCATGTCAAGAATGCTTGACGGACTTTTTCAAGGCCTTTTAGAGCACAGACACTGGAGCCAAACTGACTAGGTTCAAGTCCCAGTTCTATCTGAACTGAGACGCAGGTCCTCACTGTGTCTCAGTTTCCCCATCCATAAAATGATGCCTGCCTCATGAGATTGTTGGGATGACTATAAGGACATATACAACAGACTCAGAACAGTGCCTGGCCATAGTAAGCACAATATACATGTTAGTCATTAATATCAGTTGTTTCTACCATTTGGAGACAGGACACAATTGACAAATCCAAATAAAAGGAGTCTCTGTGAGAGACAAATGTGATGAGGAAAGCATGTGAGACAGAGAAATGAGAGCAGCAGGACCTTTGCTTTCAGGAATTTGAAACAATGTGGTTTATTAATTTAGCACTTAGATATTTGTAATATACATACATAGGAAATCTGAAAGTTAGAGTACCTCCATTTTTTGTTGATAGTTATAAATTTTATTTTAAAATAGCTTAACAAAACAGATCTTGCATTTTAACATTTTAAAATAAAATCCATATCAAAATCTTGAGCATTGAAAAAGTTGTAAAAACCATGATTCAAGTCAACAATTCTGTGTTTTAAGATTCAGTGTGTAAACATGATTTCATTTGTCTATGAAGAATTTACTTTGTTCCCTTCTGGATTTTTCAAGGGTTTCAAAAGTAATCATTCCTTTTGGCAGCTGCAACTTGCTCTTTTCTGTTTCCAGTATGTTCTCAGCTTCACCTTAAATAAAGTACAGACATATACAAGGTGACAAAGGGGTACCAGCATTTTGTGAGAAGGCCTACTTGCTATGCACCAGTGACAAGCTATAACACTGTGGAGGGGTGTCCCCAAGTTTTACAGTTAAATTTTTCACCCATTGTCCTCAGGAGAAGGAAACACAGTGATGAATTCTGAAGACTCACAGAAAGAGATAAATCAGATGGCAGGGATTTTATTTGACAAAAGACAGCATTTTAAAATGTCAAAGAAAAAGCATACCAAGTAATATATATATTTTTTTTTTCCTTGAAGGAAAGTCAGAATAATAAGTATTAGTTGTGTTTGGAGGGGTTTGAGGCAGAGAAATTACATATATAGTCTGCTTCCTATTGCCCCTTAACATATCTTAAGTGACATGAGAGAAAATAAGGTTTACTCAAAATTCTAAATTTTCAGGAAAGCTAATCTTTGACCTGAAACTACTTATAAATACCTGAAATAAATATTAAATGTTCTTTAGTCTGTATATATATATATACACAAGAGGAATAAATAATTCCTCTTTCAGATAACAGCTAGTAATTTCTTTGTCAACTTTTATTGTTGAAGAATTAGAAAAATTAATTTAAAAATTATAATACACATTGACATTTCATAAACTTTGGAAATGAAGCCAAATAAATGTTTTCTTAAGTTCTCCTCTTTTGGCACATAATTTATACTCCAAATTCAACAGGGCAGACTACAATTTTTGAATTGTAACAGCATTTCAACCATCTGCAAACACTTCATTCTCAGTCTTACAGTAAGTAAAGATCATTATAGCTTGTCTGTAATTAGGCAGGCCACTGATGACAGACTAGATGTTTCCATGTGAGAGTGTCTCACGTATGGCAAAGCTCAGTGTGTGTTTACAGAATGGCTGATGATAAATTCAGTCTAACAGGGATTGTATATCTTGGAGTTATCACTAGTTAACAGGGCTAAATGTTATAACCTAAACTTTCTAATATGGAAAGTTTCCTGGTGGATTCTAAAGTTGTATTTTTTTTAATAAGAAATTCCCACAACATGCCTAAAGGTTTAAAATTTTATATTCTGTATATTCTGACGGACCTGTAATAAAATTACTTCCAAAACATACAGTCAAAATGTTCCTAGAAACAAATGCATTCTCCATTAGTAATATGTTCAAATGAATGCTGTGTAATAGAGTTGACAAATCTTAATACTACATATTAATTTTTATGAGGCATTGAGAATTCTAATGTCCATATAAACAATGAGATATAGTTGAGAATGATGTGAAGAGCTTTGCTGAATCAGACAACAGTTTTTAAATACTGAGAGAATATTTCCTCAATTTTTTATGCTATCCACAATGTAATAGCTATGGACACAACACACTTTGAAGCATAATCTGCATTATTAACATATCCTTCATCACTATCTTAAGTCTACACCATGGGTTGGCAAACATTTTTAAAGGGCCAGGGAGTAAATATTTTAGGCTTTTGAGGCCTTTCATCTCTGTCATGATAATAGGAAAGCAGCCAAAGATAATTCAGAAATGAATGGGCATGTCTATGTTCCAATAAAATTTTATTTTCAAAAACAGTTGGCCACTCCACAGGTCATAGTTTTCCAACCTCTGGTCTAGACAGTCAACAAAAAAAACATAAGTCAAGACTTGATTTGGCATTTGCAATTTTCCATGGTACAAATATTCCCACCACAGTCAACATCAGGGTACCAGTGGGATGTCACTGAAGTCAGAGTTGTATCTGTATTTTATTGTGTCTGTATATTGTATCTGCATTTCTATCATACAGATCCAACAGTATTCACAACTTAAGAGTATAGGTGATAGTAAAATAATTAGAAACTGATGCATTCTGAGTATTTTCACCATTGTTTTAAATATAATTTAATGTTTATTTTTTGCAGTTTATTTCATTGTAAGTTTATATAATTTAACTTTTAATAATTACTGTATTTAACAGCCAGCTTACAAAATTCCTGAAAATGTGACAGTTTTTTGGGTTTTTTTGTGAGCTGGTATGAGCTGGCTCCAGCATATCACAGCGTGCGAGGGAGCAGAAATGTTGGTCACTGAGAGCTCAGGGAGAGGGTCTTATCAGAATCTTCATAAATCAAGGGATTATAAGGAAGGGATACTTTAGCCAGATGAATCAGAGACTCTGGTTTATCAAAGACTTACCTTTCATTCTTTGTATAAGGGTTCCATAGCCCAAGTCATACTGGTAGGTAAGGACAAAGCTTAATGGAACGATAGGGAAGAGGAAGGCTGGCTTCTTCCTTTTTATTGCTCTGATTCAAGAATAAAGAAGAATGAATATCAAGAAATGTAAACACATATCTCTATACTCAATGAAAAAAATTTTTCCCTGATTTTTGAAAGAACGTCCTTCATTTCAAAAGTTACTTAATTCATTTGCATCTTTGAAAATAGGATTTTCTTACCCATAACCCCTCACCAGAATCTGCAGTTCTCAAGGACAGCATCTATGACTTGCACATTTTTATTTGATGTTGAGTCTCAGATTACTCATTTTATAAATGGTTAAGTATTGATATCTGTCCTTTAGGGACTGTGAAAATGAACTTGTAGAAGCCTCCTTATATCTCGGGGCCAAGTCAGTCCTCTATCTTATGAAACAGAGAAATGGGCAGAAGAAATCTAAGAAACTAAAGGCAGAATTAACTATTACTACCCTGTATCTACAGTTACTCCAAGGACTAAGCTATAATGGGTTACTTTGTTTACATACACTATTTGGACCAAGTCCTATCTTGGCCAACTTAATAGTAATATAATGGCGAAAGCAAAAGAAGTAAATTATTTTTTAAAAATTTAAAGTAAATAACAAACATACCCAGCTGTTAAAGAGATGGCTGCAATGCCGAAAAATGTTCCAAAATATTTTAGGAATTCCCGAGACCAAGCAATCTGAATGGCCATTTGTCTTTCTCTCATTTCATTCTGCATTATTAGCTGCCTTTCCAGCTGAGGACAAACAAAAGACAAAATGTGGTTTACTCATCTTTTGAATCTGAGCACAGAGTTAATAGTCTGCTTTTCCAGTGGATTTCCATTCTTCAATTGCTTTGATTCATTTTTTTTTTTAATCCTCAATAGACTTTTACAAAAGTCCCTCTGGACAGCTATCCCCAACTGTCACTGGCAGTGAAATCTTCCTGGAATATGCACAGAATAGATATGATACTCTTTTTCTGTGTCCTGAGGTATTGGGACACATGTGGTCTGGAGCTTTTATCCAAGCCTAAAATATATGTTCACTTAATATATCACATGGGAGGAAAGATCTATGTGTCTTTAAATGCAGATAGTTCCTATTGGTCTTTATTACAACTTTCACTGAGATCATTTTGTCTTCCAAATCCATCCAACTCCAAATTGAAATTGATTTGGAATATCAGGGCCATATCGCTCCATGATGGTAGAGGAGGAGGATTCTGAGACATCAATAGAGATTTTTCTTTGCCACCATTTCCTTTGTGCTTCAAGTCCTTTACCACTTTAGTCAGTGCCTTTCCCGGCATTGGAGTAGAAAGCGGATACAGCCCAGAACATGGGAGACTGGATTTCTGAATGTATTTTTGAAACCCCAAGCATTATTTTGAGAGAATTAGATTAAGAGAGAAAAGTTTTTGTTTTTAATTTGAAAATCTTGGGATGATGTATTATTAGCAAAACATAGAGGATAGCAAGCATAGAATTCATGATGCAAAACATAGGGTGAGGAGGAATGAGTAATAATGTGACTCAGTTTCCCCTCCATGCCTTTTTTCTACCGTAGGAAGGAACTGGGAGAAGAGAATGAGTTTTTAGATATAAAGATGGGGCTTGGCTCCTTGGCCCCTCTTAGGAGTTGAAGCTCCAGGGGATGTGATGGATTTGGGTTTGGGGATCCCCAGACTGAGAGCGCTTGTGGTCCTACCTCCTGTTGAGAATTCTGGGAAGGGAAAACTAAAGTACAGTAGAAATGGTTGCAGGGCAGATCTAGGCTTAGCACAGGCCTGAGAAAGGCCACCTCAGTCTCCCTCAACTGCCACAGGGTATGGAAAAAGTCTATAAGGTTTTCATGTCAACCTGGAGAGGGTTGCAGAAGGTAACTAAGAATTCAAAGCAAGTGGCTTACTAGGGAGTCACCGAAGTCTAGGGCCCAGGGGCCCCATAATAGACACTTGGGTAGAGACCATATGCTACGGGCTAGGTGAAGAAGGTATCTCAGAGGATCAGCAACACAGAGAGGTGGCCAAACCAGCTTGAAAATGGTCAGATACCCTCAGAGAAAGTCACTTGGTACTGCCCAGGTTGATCAAACAGAAAACAACAGCAGAAAAGCGTCCTCCAACCAGATGTGCCTTCTCCAATGCTCATGCCACCTGCAATCTCCTGGCCCCAACCCTAGATCAGTCCAGAAAAAATAGGGACAGAGAAAGAGAGGGGGCCAAGCTGAATTCAACTCTTTATCTACAAAGAAATGAGTTTTACACTAGAATTAATTGAGTCACTTTGACTTATCAAAATTAAATTTGCTGTCAGCAGCAGAAATTGAAGTTCATTTTGAACTGAGAGTAAAAAATAGTGTTTTTGCATACATCATTATTTAGTATGTAAAATTCATTCTTACTCTATTACTTACTCAAAAATCTTACATGATAGTTGATAATATGCCCCCCCCAAATTGATGTAGGTGAATCAATTAATTATTTGTTTTGTTATCAAAAGGCAACTAAATCCAATCATGACACAGATGAACCCAAGATGAACCCACAGGGCTCTGATCTTGGCTGCACATTGTGAGCATCTGGGGAGCTTATCAAAGCCCCAATGCCCAGGCTCCTACCTCAGACAATTAAACCAGGAAGGACCAATGAAACCAAGACCAGTCATCAGGATTTTTAAAAGGTTGCCAGGTAATTCCAATATGCAGCTAGGATTGAGAACCACTGCCTGAGATGAAAGAATTCACAACCTAGGGTTTTTTCCCACCAAAGATCAGGCTGAAATAGTGTGAAAAGTAATCCTCTGGGAACTCTCAAACAATTGTGAACAGGTAAGGGTGGTGGGACTAACATGTATGGTACTGTCACGGATACATGACTCTCTGCATTTGTCAAACCCCTTAAAACTTTACAGCACAGAGTGAACCTTACTGTATGCAAATCACCCAGAAGATACACAGGACTGAATGTGGACTGTGACAAAAATAATCTAACTATATTATAAATGTATGACATAACTTCACTGAAGGGGATAGAGGAAAAAGAACTGAGCTAACTTTGGAAAATGATATTTCGACTGGAAACTGTAAGGCTAAAGACAAAAGGAACTGTACATACATATTGTACTCTAGTTGCTAAAGTTATTTCTCACAGGGTATGGGTTAACAATTCTGAAACTACTTTACATGTGTAACTGGAGATGAACAAACAAATTCATGGCGGATGGTGGGAGTTGGGTTTCTTACTATTAGAAAGGGAGATTACAGAACAGCAAGGGGAGAACACTAGAATAAACCATGGTATATTGGACAAGAGGCAGTGACATCCGTATGAACTCATATTTAGCTTAATATAGGTTCAGCTAGACAAATATAAAATTATAGATATACACAGTTAGTGGAAGTGCATATGTTTCCTAGCTCTCCCCTGAGAGGACATAGAAGTGATGATACCCTTGCAGCAATGAGCACATCCAGCACCCCGATTTTGGTTTATAATATTACCCTCCACTAAAAGGAACCAGGGCTCCTTGGAGAAATGGCTGACCTAAGACTGGGACAGGAAATATACAAAATGAGCGAGAGCATTTTGTGGTGCCAGAAAGTAATGTTATAAAAAAGGGGGGGGGCATGTCAGAGGGACACAGGAGCCAACCTAAAGAAGCCCCCAATTCCTAAAATTGAAACAATTTGAGCAGCAAATGCATAACATAGTCTTGGATTACGACCCAAAGTATAAAATAAATATCTGTGAGTCCATACTGATATAAATACAGGAAACAAATATCTTATACAGAAGAATTCCAAATCATTTGTGTAGATACTACCCCACCACGTTCAAGGAGGTGAAATTTAATTCCTACTCCTTGATGGTGGGCTTTGCTGTTACTTGCTTCCAAGGAGTATAGTCTGAGAGAGAAGGAGGAGAGAGTAACTAATATCATGGTGGAGGAACCTGGCAAACACGACCTTGACCAAGTGATCAAGGTTAATGTTAGTGATGAGAGACACATTGATAGCAGGTACTCTGGATGTAATGTGAGAAGAAGGGCACTTCACCTCTGTGGTCTTCCACCCAATAACCCATAACCCCAATCTAACCATGAGACAAACCCAAATTGAGGGACGTTTTACAGACTCCCTGACCAGCACTCCTCAAACCTCACAAAGTCATCAAAAACATGGAAAATCTGACAAACTGTTACAGTCCAGAGAATACAAAGGAGACAAGAAGACTAAATGTAATGTGACACCTTGGACAGGATTCTGGGACAGCAAAAGGACATTTGGAAAACACTAATGAAATATGGATGTGGAATTTACTTAATAGTAATATACCAATGTTAGTGTCTGAGTTGTGACTACTATACCATGGTAATGTCAGATACTAACTGTAGAGTATATTAAGTATAAGGTAATTCAGAAACTCTGTATTTCTTTTCTATAAATCTAAAACTATTCTAAAATTTAAGTGTATTTTTTTTAAATGGTTATGAACAAATCTTATATTCTGGATCTATAGTCTCCTAATGATGAGAATAGAGGCAGTCATCTCCGTATATCATAGATACATTGTGAAAACCAACAAGACTGTGTATCTGCAAAAACTTTTGAGCATAGGGTTAACAAATATCAATGCACATTCTCTCCATGGCAAAAAAATCTTGATGAAGAACATCACTAAGCTGTAATGTTAATTACAAATTAGCTTTGTTAATTACTCCATACTTTATAAAATTGTGTTTAAAGTCACATGTCTAGATCAAACACATTTTAAAATTCAAATTGGTAAATTTTATTACCAAACTTTTTCAATAGCCATAAAGGGATAATTATATTAATGCAATAATTAATTTACCAATAATAGGCATCATTTAACTAAATGTACATTCATTTTCAACCTTCTTCCCCAAAGATTAAGAACTAAGAAAAAATAAGCAAAAGGGAAATGTACAAGTTTCCTTAATCATCTCTAACCCAAATCATAAATATAAAATTCTTTATTCTATTTTTTAAAAATTTTAGACCTTTCTATAGAAATAATTTTCCCATCTCTATTACTTTTCATATTGCTTTATTGAACAATTTGAAATTTAAATGTTCCTGATTATGACTTCAAACTCTAATGATCTTACAAGCTTATCTGAAATTAGCTTAACAACTACAAAACCACAATTTTTTTTTTAAGATTTTTATTGGGGAATTGGGGGAGGGGAACAGCGTTGGGGAATCGGTGAAGGGGAACAGACAAGTTGCTGTCCTTTTGTTCTTAAGTCTAGTTGTGGAGGACATCACTTCACTGGCCTATGTTGGTATTATCATTGCGCTCTTCCCAGGTGAGGCAGTCGGTCGCCGGCCACTGGACAGCTGTTTATGGCAGCTCATGTCAGCTGCTGGCCACTCATGATAGATTATGGGAGCCCACTGCAGCTCCACTGCAGCCGACGCCGACACCGGCGACTCATGGCAGCCCAGCTCCAAGTCGAGCTGTTGTTCACCATCTTAGCTGTATAGGGCACAGCGTCACTGGCCGATGTGGGATCTGAACCGGCGGCCCTGCTGCTCAGAGCTCCCATTCCCAAGCCAACTCTTAACCAACGAGCCACTTGGCCAGCCCAAACCACAATTAATTTTAAAGAGAACATAATAAAATGGAGCTAGCTTATTAAAAGTAATTGTACATAGTAGGAGTGACCACATTGTAACCACCTTTATAAAACTGTTACATGTGTTCTTTCCTGTGTATTTTGATTCT